GCGGGCGGGACCGAGGGTGGCGGGGCCTCGGAGTCATTGCCTTGCCGTGAATGAATGGGCTAGAAGGCCCCTTCCAGGCCTGGGTTCCGAGCCTCTCTTTGCAGCGCGCGCCCCACAGCGCAGGCTCCGTCCCTTCGCCGCAGCCGGCGCCCCTCGACTCGCGGCAGGGAGGGATGGGAGGAGGCGGCTTCCTCGGTGACAGGGCGCGCGCGCGCTCTCGCTGGGCGGGTGTGTTGCGACCTGGCGACTGTCCCTGCAGGCGGGTCGAAGCGGCGTCTCAGTCGCCTTCCATCACTGTAGTTTAGGAAGTGTACTCCCTTCTTTGGAGGGAGAGAAGAACTGTTGGCCTGCCTACTCTAGGGTAATGGAACGCCTTCCTCCCTTCTCCTGCGACGGGGTTAAAGAGGCTTTTCTTAATTTCTGCCGTGACTCAGGAAAGTCCGCTCCCGCCGTTTACCCGGCACATACTCTAGGTTTCCTTAACGCTTTGCTTCTTTTGCGAGGGGGGGCCCTTGCATTTTTTTAAGGGCTATTTTTTGTTCTTGGACGTTACAGTGTTGGCTGAATTTGTCTTCTGTGCCAGCTGAAAGTGACCAGCTTATCAGTATAAAAGAATTCAGAGAACTTTATTGCTTCTGTGTGTGCATCATTTTAATTTATAATCCTGTGTGGATATTTAAAAATATGAATTTCAGAAGCATGTACCATGTCTTTCTGTTCAGCCAAACTAGTCTACAGTTAAAATTGATCACCGTTTTAGTTACAGCTAGTTGCTGATACGTGCAGTTGCATTTTTGCTTTTCACAGACTGAAGAAGCGTCACTAAATTCCATTGTAAATGTAAGGGAGGGGCACAAACCAGATGATGAACTAAACTTCATCACATTTTTTTGGCTGTTTGTGGTTTGCAAAGTCATCTTCACGAACTGAAGTCATGTTCACAAACTTCCATGAATTTTGATGCAGAAACCCCTGCTTTCTGCTCTTCATAAACAACAGCTGAGTTTGGGGCCATTTAAACCATTACTTTCTTCTCTTTGTGAAAAGCCGCAGGGAGCAGAAACCAGTGGTTTCCGAACAGCTGAGCAGCAGGGACCGTGACTCAGCTGTTTGATTTAAATGGCTCTGATCCATTTAAACCCTGCTTTCTGCTCCCCTTGGTTTTTTGGAGCCATTTAGACCAAACAACTGAGTGGTGGTCCCTGCTGCTCAACTTTTTGAAAACCCCAGGTTTCTGTTCCCTGCAAAAAGCTGCAGGGAGCAGAAAGCAGGGGTTTTAAATGGCATATGAACCAGTTCAGTTCATGAACCAGCATATTGGTTCGTGGTTCAGTCACTAACAAACTACAGAAATGCAGTTCATGCCCATCCCTAGTAAAGACATGGGGCATGGAACTGTCAGTTGGGGTGCGAGTGTCCTGATGTTAGTCTTACACACACAAAACACACCGTGCAGCTACTGGTTGCTTATAGCTGAGCTCCACCATGTCCCAGATTCAGAAAGTCTTTCATTCTGGCAAGATGCCCCTGCAAAAATAAACTTGCCAGCACAGGATGACCTTCCCCAGGAGAGCCTGCTAAGGAGAGTAGCTGTTAAGGTCTATACTACAAAGTTAGAGTCCAGTGGCACCTTTAAGACCAACAAAGTTTTATTCAAGGTGTGAGCTTTCACACCTTGAATAAAACTTTGTTGGTCTTAAAGGTGCCATTGGACTCTAACTTTGTTCTGTTGCTTCAGACCAGCACCGCTACCCACCTTGAAGGTCTATGCCAGTTTTCTGCAATTGAAATTTACAAGTGTGGTCTTAATGTATAATTCTGAGTTCTCAGACTACAGTGTATTTTGGTTGCTTATATGATTCATATGATGCATTTTGATTTAATTGTTCCATGGTTTCCTACAATGACTGTTTCCAGTCAGTTGCTTTGGATTCCTCCTGCTCTTATGAGGAAGATTTGTTGGACTGAGCCTGTATGCTCAGCTCTTGTGATAAAACTTCCTTGTACTGAAGTTTTCTCTATCTGTGCAGAGTAGATAAGCATGATATAGTGCTTTCAGTATTTGATCTGCTTACATTAACCCAGTAACAGTAGCTTCAGTTGAATGAGTGGCTGTTATATTTATCTCAGCTTTAAAGCAGCAGTTTGTCAACAGTTTTCATTTTAAAATGTTTGAACAAACTCAGTCTGTTTAGCACACATGAGCTCTTATATATCAGCTCTGTGACTGATTCTTCTTAAGAAAAATTAACACATTAACATGCTCTGAAGTCAGTCTTGTGCACAGATGACTAACGGTGATGCCAGCATTAGAAATGCGCACTCTGTAGTTACAGACTATCCTGGAATGATCAGGTAATCCTTTGCCAGTTTTCCAAGCCTTGGAAAATGTTTCAGCAATATATACATGATGATAAACCCTTATAATTCTTAATGTAATTTTTTATATTCATCACTGTCAGTTGTGACCAGGATTGCAGCCTTCACACAAAGACGCTGTGCAGTATATGGAAACCAAGGCTCAGACTAGAGGGGCTTTCAACTTTTCCCTTCTTGTTTTTGAGATTTCAGCAAACATTGTTTGTACATTTTTAAAACTGAAAATGAAAGTTGATATTCTTTTTGATAGTTATCAGTATCCAATAGATTTATGCCAAATTCAGATTTTAATTTCTGGTAGCAAATTCCATATCTTTTTGTACTTGTGTCAAACTGTAGAAAAACCTAAGCTCTCAAGCAGATTTGGATCTTTACCAAAGCAGGGCTGAAAAAAATCCCTCAAGTCTAAAACCTGGATGTTGGTATCTACAGATAATTGACAAGTTGCTAAATTCTTTTGAGAGGTTACAGTTTTCTTCTTCCAAGTGATTTTAATAATGTTAGTGGTGATAATCATCCTTGCCATTGTAGAAAACCTTTAAAAATGTTTACAGCTCCAGCATATGGAGTCTTTGCTTTCCTCTGTTTGAATATTGTAAATAAGAAGTTAAAGAAATGAGCAGGAGTGCCATATGAAGCTGTCTTGTACTGAGTCAGTGGAACAAAGTTTGAGTCCAGTAGCACCTCTAAGACCCACAAAGTTTTGTTCTGGTCCATATTGTTGATCTTAAAGGTGCTACTGGACTCAAACTTTGTTCTGCTGATTCAGACCAACACGGGCCACCCACCTGAATTTATACTGAGTCAGTCATTGTTCTCTCAAGGTCACTGTTGGCTGCTCTAACGGCAGCAGCAGCAGCTCTCTAGGATGTCAGGTCTTTCACATCAAAAAAACAAAAAAGGGTGGAGATGTCCCAGTGCAAAAGCAAACAAGGAAGAAACTACACAGTAAAGACCTTTACAAAGCATAAACAAATTGATAACCATGCATAAATATAATGTGTATATATAATTTTCATGTGAAAACCATAAAAATCCAAGGTAACAGTGCCATATGTAATATGTGACGCTATCCAAGACTCACTATATACATAGGAGGTATACAAACATTATGTAAGTCACATGAGCTTCTGGGTAATACTCGTTTAGAAAAATAATTTTCAATGAGTTCTGAACATTTCCCATTAACTGATTGTTTTGTCACATAAATCTTAATAGGGGTTTATCTTTTGTTCCCACCTCTAAGTACAATGCTTCCCAAACTAGAATAGATCTGTTTAATTAGGTTGATCAAATTAAGAGAGTTTCCCTCTATCTATATATCTAATAGCGAAGTTGCCCCTGGAGTGCGGATCGCTAAATCAGCGCTCCGGGGGCAGCTGGGGGGCCGGGGGAGGTTTGTGCACACGTGGGCCAGTCCCCACGTGTGCACAAAAATAAAAAAAGTTGAAAAAATTTCGGAGGGATGTTTAAATCCCCCCAAAAGTGCAAGAGCGTCTCCTGCGCGTGCGCAGGAGATGCTCTGGAACGTCGCCGCCGGGGGTGGGGAGAGAGAGAGTGCGAGGTGCCTCGGAGATGGTGAGGGGGGGGAGAGAGCCGGAAAGAGACGGAGCCGAGGCCCGCGCGGCTTCCGCGGCCCTCGGGTCGGAGCCGGTGGGGGAGAGGGCAAAAGAGAGAGAGAGAGAGTGGGGGGGCGGAAACAGAGAGAGAGACAGAGAGAAAGAGAGAGAGAGAGTGGCGAGAGGGGGGGGCGAAAGAGAGAGAGAGTGGCGAGAGTGGGGGGGTGGAAAGAAAGAGAGAGACGGGGAGAGAGAGGGGGGGGGGAGAGGGGGGGGGGAAAGAGAGAGAGAGAGACATCCCATCCCGGCCTCTCCGCCTCCGCCTCAGGGGCGGGCGGGGGGAGGACCGGCCTCGCCGCCGCTGCCGCCTCCTCGGGACATCGAGCGGGGGGGGGAAGGAGGAGACGGAGCTCTTCTCCCCCCCCGCGAGTATCGCGGGTCCCCGTCTTGTTAATACTATTGATA